CAAATTCTTACAAGATATTATTATTATTTATTGTCAAATTTTGCCGTCCCCTAAAAAGTGCCGCCCGGGGCGGGCAGCCCCTGCCGCCTCCCTACGTTACGCCACTGAGTACCGCATTCAATCAAAAAATAACCCCTCCAAGATATTTTACACTATTGGACTCAGAGGATCTTGAAATGTCGAGAAATCTAACAGAAACCCCTCTTTTTTTATGTATGGATGTTAGTGTGGGTGTATGGGAGGAGGGGCCCGATTTTGTGTTACTCTGTTTGAAATTTAATAACTCCTGTGCTTTTCGTCGAAAATTTCCGAAATTTTTCAAGGAGGTTCGTGTTTTAGGGAGATTGATGCTGTTGAATTTTTGTGGTTAAATGTCGACAGGGTGGACAGATAAAGGGAATCGTGTGTCATTTCTGGAATAGGTCCAGACTTAATTACGACTTTACTCGTTAGTAGCATTTACAATTTTTTTATTATTATAAAACCCACCCCTACCTTCTAAATTAAGTTCATTGCCATCGTATAATAGTTAAAAATGTAAAAAGATTTTAATAAGATATAACAGATGTTGCCGGAAAAGTTAAGCAAATCGTTGTTGGATTTTTAAAAAATTTTTCCCATGATGTTTAAAACGTGTTTTATCAAAAGGCTCGCGAATCTCATTTTAATGTACTTTTATTTTTCATGCGACTTTTTCACTACTGAATTCCATGTTTTTCAAATCAAATTTTGCTAATTTTTGTCTCATTATGAATTTTTGCTCTTTTCGTCACTCCTCATAACTGTTAATAATGTTTTAAATTATAAATTAATCCAAAAATGCGCAAATTTAATATTTTTATAAATATCGAATCTTTAAACAGTTAATATGAAATTCAATGTTTTATTAAATATAAAATGTATACACAATCGTGAAAATTCCACGTACTGTACAAATGTAATTGTTGAAGTAATTATAATTCTGGTTTGAACACATATGGACTGCAAGGTTTGTTTGGTTAAAATTCAACGTGGAAATGGTTTCCTCCTGTAGTGTATTATTCTGTGGTGAAATGATTTTCTATAGAACACCAGTCGAAATGTTATAAGTTGCCTTGGCCAGTTATAGTCGTTTAATGTCACTTTAACCGAAGTACAAGAACGAATCTCGAATGGTTCGAAATATCCGTTCGTAAATTGAGATGGAAAATCAAGTCCAGTTGATTAAGTAGTAGCCGGGTGAAAGGTCACTTCCGGGTAGCTGTGTCACATTCGGCGAAAGTCGAAATCCGTGCAAGGCCTCGGCAAAGAAGAGGTTTATGTTTTCCAGCAGCAAAACAACCTTTTCCACCAAGGCCTTTTACGCTCGACGGATTCTTCCACCATTTCTTCGGACTCCTTTCTGTCCAGTCCCGTCTCACGTGACCGTATCTCGACCGTCCATTCCGGAACTTCGGGGTATCGCCGCTCCAGATCAAGGTATATAGAGGCTCCAGATAATGGACGACAGATGGGCGTATGCGACTTCTCCATCGCATCTTTCGGAAGCATTCGTATTATCTATATATATATAAGCCATTGTCATATCCCGTCTGTAACGGTATGCCTAAGACGCCCACTAGGGGCGCCCTAGCGATAATTTTAAATTAACAATAAATTATTTTTATTTGTAATAGGAATTTATGATTGATATGAATTTATTATTTATACCACAGAATGTTATAAATGATTATTATATGCCTTGATTAACCTTGCGCCGCACGTTTACAACATCACGTGACTCACAAGTCAGTGAACCTCGCGCATTGACTGACGGGAAATTTGTTGAAGAAATGGCGGATACATTTAAAATCGAAGTTTACAAGAGAAGGTAAATAAACAAATTAAACTACTGTATTTTAAAGTTTTATAGAATGTTTAATTAATAGGTAGAGATGTAGATCCGTATGATGCGATTGGGACTGTAACAGAGCTGTAGAGCATATTGATAGGAACAAAAAAGTCAAAGGAACCGTGTCTCATGAGAATCCCGGGCTACTAGTACCCGTATAACACGAGACGAGGACTAGGCGCCATCCTGGAGCTCGGCATGGTCGGAGGTGTGCCACTCCTTCAATTTTTTGAAATTGCCCATTCTGCAAAAGAAAATGAGCGAATGTTGTGAAAACAGAACTTGCATTAATTAAGAAATATTCATATTCTGATCTGAATTGTAAATTTCTAAAGCAAAAATGATTGTTTTAATTCTTTCAAAGTCAGAAATGAATGTTATAATAAAATCTCTATATAATAATTTTAATCTTTTCGACGATTATTAAAAATCGTCGAAAAGATTAAAATTAGTTTAATTTTCGATATAGAAATTAGTTTATAAAAAAATTGTGCTATTCTGTTGACTGCCGTAACACAAAACATCCGTGAAGAGAGATGAAACGAGACGACGAATGAACTCGAATTATTCTAACTAATTAAAATTCAGACGAGATATTAAGGTACTGTATATACGTATGTAGCGATTTTCAATAAGAATTGATCGGTTTCCTTCGGTGGAATCGGATCTTTTCCTTTGAATCGGTTTCCCGAAAATAGTCTTTTTATTGTTAGTTTTCCAAAGCAAAATGAAAATTAATAAATAGCTTACTTTAAATCTCTTATTTTCCGCTATAGTTTATATATTACATACGTGTATACCTTAATATCCCGTATGAATTTTAATTAATTAGAATAATTCGAGTTCATTCGTCGTCTCGTTTCCCCTCTCTTCACGGATGTTTTGAGTTACGGCAGTCAGCAGAATAGCACAATTTTTTTATAAACTAATTTCTATATCGAAAATTAAATTAATTTTAATCTTTTCGACGATTTTTAATAATCGTCGAAAAGATTAAAATTATTATATATAATAGAGATTTTATTATAACATTCATTTCTGACTTTGAAAGAATTAAAACAATCATTTTTGCTTTAGATTAGAATATGAATATTCAGATTAGAATATGAATATTTCTTAATTACAGATACAATTCAGATTAGAATATGAATATTTCTTAATTAATGCAAGTTCTGTTTTCACAACATTCGCTCATTTTCTTTTGCAGAATGGGCAATTTCAAAAAATTGAAGGAGTGGTACATCTCGAGCTATGCCGAGCCCTAGGATGGTTCCTCGTCTTATACTGGTATAATACGGATGCTTCCGAAAGATGCGATGGAGGAGTCGCATACACCCGACGTCAAACGGGTGGTCGTCATAACTCCGGACGACAGCGCCCGTCTCTCGTCCATTATTTGGAGCGGCGATACCCCGAAGTTCCGGAATGGACGGTCGAGATACGGTCACGTGAGACGGGACTGGACAGAAAGGAGTCCGAAGAAATGGTGGAAGAATCCATCGAGCGTAAAAGGCCTTGGTGGAAAAGGTTGTTTTGCTGCTGGAAAACATAAACCTCTTAGCCGAGGCCTTGCACGGATTTCGACTTTCGCCGAATGTGACACAGCTACCCGGAAGTGACCTTTCACCCAGCTACTACTTAATCAACTGGACTCGACTTTCCATCTCAATTTACAAATGGATATTTCGACACCATTCGAGATTCGTTCTTGCACTTCGGTTAGAGCAATGTTTCTCAACCTCTAACGAATCGTCGCCCCCTTCAACGTAGTATCGCCTCCTTCAATAAAACCGTTACGTAGTATCGCCCGCCCCCTTCACTTCAAAATTCCGATGCCGTGGGCCAAGGCTAACTCCAAATTCGTACTGCATTGAATAGACTATTGACTAGTATAATGTTATTTGTTTAATTATTGTACGATATAACGAATAAAATATCTAATTATTCTTAATATAATGTCTTACTATATCGCCCAGAAAATTATTTTTCGCCCGCAAAATATGAATTGTTACAAATCGCCCCCTCAACATGAAAAACGCCCACATGGGGGCGATATCGCCCCCGTTGAGAAACACTGGGTTAGAGTGACAACAAAACATTAAGCAGTGTTCGCGTGTTTAAAAAGACTATCAGTTACCTTTCGCCATCTTTCTGTATCGTTTTGTGAGACAACTCTATGGGAATTCAGACGGTCGGTTATCTCTTTCCAAAGTTTCTGACGATCTTTTACGGCAAAGGAAGCATCTAACTTCTCTGACATTAATTTGTTGTTTTCCATAAAATTAACTAACATCTCGAACTGGCGACTTGAAGTTCGCTGGTGCGTTGTCCTTTTTTCTACATTTTAAAACAAAAATATTTGGATAGCCTGATAAACGATTATACTAAAACTACCAGTGGCGTAGCTAGGATTCTTTGGGTCCGGTGCGGAACCAGATTTGTGGGCCCCTGTAAACGGACTAAAATATTTTTGTGGTGTATAACTAGATTAGATATATATAGTGTATAACTAGATTAGAGTTGAGTTGATATTTTCCTGTGTAATAGGGGCCCCAGCAGCTCGAGCAGCCAAATGCCAAATTTTGCTTTGTTCTGATTGCCGTGAAAAATTTTTCGTTTTTATTTTCTTGTGATTTTGGAGCCCCATGGGTCTATCGCTTTCCAGGGGCCCGGTGCGGACCGCACCTACCGCACCCCCCTAGCTACGCCACTGAAAGCCACGTGTTTCACTTGGAAAACGGCGGGTTGTAGTCACGTGTCAAAAATGCAATGTTAACTAAATTGTAATTGGCTAGTTTGTGTTGTATTTGGAATGTAATTAAGTATAATTACTGTAATTAAAAACCAGAAATGAAAAATACTAAAGTCGTTTATAATCTCAAAAATTGGCATTAAATAAAAATAAATTAGTTTATGATTTGGGTTTCAATTAATTTATTTTGATTACGAAGTATTGATACTTTATAATTTATAGAATTAAAAAATATTGACTTAGTCTGAAAGTTTTATTTTTAATTAGATAATCTAATTGTTTTCGAGTAAACTATGAAATAATATTAACTGTAGAATTAACTAATGACTTACATATTTGATTATAATAAATATATATAAATTACCAAGTATTCAAAGAAAAAATTTATTAAAATGTGTATCGATTCATATTCGATTTTAACTCGGGCACCCCATTTTTGTTGGATTTGATTACGGCTTTGAAAGTATAAACTGTATTTAGAAATAAACTTTCCTAATAAAGCATGGGCAAAACAAGATGTGAGACACTTTAACTTCTTCACGCTTCATTGTAAACTGTTTATAATGATGCCACAAGCTGTTGTATTAATGGAATATTGCCAGAAATCAATCGATGCTCACTCAAATGCTTATCAAAAAGTTACAAAAGAAAAACTGTTTTGTCGCGAAGAAGTAGTAAGTCTAAAACCCTTGCTTTCAATTAACAGATATCAGCTTTTAATGTCAGGAATCTGTAAAAGAAATCTTGTAAAAAGTCGGAAATAAACGTTTTTAGTGAGTAAAGAAAAAAATTGCGGTATTGACATAAAAATTGCTAGTGTGGTGTTGAATAAAAATTGGGAATTTTATTCAAAATTAGCCAAATTCTCGAGAAATCGAGGATCGCTGTGCCTATTGTTGAAGATCGTAATGCTTATAGTTGGAGTTAATGTCCTTAACTTTTCTCAAACGGATATTTTCTATATAGTCTGCTGTAACATAAATGGAGTTCAAAATACTAGGAGAAATTTGTTCTTTATACGTCATAATAAATCTTAAATTTATAGCCTATACTATATTTGCCGGGGATTTTTAGTTGTTCGATGTAGTGAGAGCGGAATTGAATTGAGAATTTCCTGTGTTATCTTGTAATATTTAGTAATTTTCAAATGTTAATGATAATTACGAATGTGCAATATTCACATATGACAAGATTATTACAAAAGTGGATAAATTTTAAAAATATATAACTATATTACTTTTAAAATCAGTGATATATGTAGATAACAATGCGATGATTGTAACTTAAACACGCACGCAGCAAACATTTTCGAAAATGAAGAAAGTCACATGTTTGGTTTATTTCATTTTTACTAGCAAAATCGTTGAGTCAGACATTCCACAAATAAAATACATTCGAGTAATTTATTTGATCTCTATTCTTCTGTATATCCGACCCTCTACGATTTATTTTTTGTGAATTGATCGACGATGAAAGGAACGTTGTTTTTCGACATACCACCGAAATTAATATTTGTATTAATTTATCTGTGCTCATCCGTCTTATCGGATTGTCCGGCTCTATATAAACGTTACAGCCACGAACACACATTCTGTAAAACGAAAAATCAAAAATGTCATGTTAAAAAATGGGGAGTGTCCGAAGACGATCGAGAAATCATAATTGATTTACATAACAAGGTAAGAAACAACATCGCTATCGGAAAGGACCAGTCTGGAAGACTTCCCGCTGCCGGAGATATGTTAGAAATGGTAAGTAAACGAATTTATTTTTCTTAAGAAAGGCTTATTTTTTAAATAATTGATAAAACTTTTTTATATAGGAATGGGATGACGAATTAGCTCAGATTGCACAGAAGCTTGCAGACCAATGTGTCTTCAAGCACGATTGCGATGATTGCAGAAAAGTCGGTCTGTATCTTATCTTTTGTTTAATAACTTGTATAAAGCTTATATTTTACTTATGTCTGGCCACATAAGATCAGACGTCTCGTTTTGTGAATGCCTACAAAATAGATATTTTTCCCATTTTTGACAAATAGAAAACATGCTGTTGAGATTTGAAGAGTTTGGTATTTCATATTTAAATATGAATTAAATAAAATATAATAAAATTCCTCAAAACAATAACTATTTTTCTTCAAATCTTCAATGATTTATAAATGCTTTCTTTAAATTTGAGGAAAATTACCACTAAAAATATTAAGTGTATAATTAATTCAAAAAAGGTTGTAGAGAATATTAAGGGGGACAATTTTTACGAGACCTAAACCATAATTGAAGTTACATAAATCGTATAGTCCCAAGGATTACTTAAATAATGACAATTTTAGGTCAATTTAAATTTTTTCTTTAAACAATTGAAGTTAAATATAATAATAATTACGGAAAACACATTAAAATGCATTGCAATTTTTTTAAACTCCGCCCTGTTGGCACTAAAAGGGCCCCTTATAGCAGGCCCATTATGGGTTCGGCCAAGCCCACAATGAGGCGGCGGTGATGAGGAGCGGGGCCCAGATATATCCGGACGGACCACCCTTTGAAAAATTCCTGGGGATTTAACGACCACGTCTGGATTCGAACCCGAGTCCCCAGAGCGGTAGGATGCCACTTGACCGCTTGGCCATCCGGACGTCCAATATTGTAATGTTTAAAATGTTAATGATTTCTTAAAATACGCATAAATATTTATTCTCTCAGATTTGGCAATGGAGTTTTTAACATTAAATTTATTTTGAAGATAGAAGGAAATTACACTAAAAATTTATGTATTCTATTATTGTTTGTTTTATTTTTTAGAGAACTTCGACGTAGGACAAAACATATATACTTCAACAATCACTGCAGTCAAACCGCCCGAGTCATTTTGGGTGGATGCCATACGCTCTTGGTACAGCGAAATATATAGATTCACCCCGGATTTCATAAAACCTTTCACCAGTGATCATGCCACTGGCCATTTCACTCAGGTGAGAATATTTTCGTTATTCTCTTCTCTGATATCTTTCATTAGAACATTTGTTGAATATAGCACAGACTAATGTTTAAATTACAAAAATCTTTGTGAGAGATCTATTAAACATAAGAAATGAAAGCAGTATTAAATTATTATACATATATTGGAAAAGTTACAGGAGTTACAGTTTGATTATCCATTGAATTTCAGCTATGGTCCAAAAATCTTGCATTGTTTCTTGTATTGAATTTATTCATTCAATTTTCCGACATTCTTGGTTTCAAAATCTTGAGGGATTAACGGTTTCACAAGACTAACCAATGTCATATAATAACAACTCAACTGTACTGTACACTCTGGATTATTGGGCTGCAATTTGAAAGAATTGTAGGCCTGTAAATTCCCATTGTCGTTCGTCTGTCCGTAGTCTTTCTTTAACACAACAGTAACGGCCTTACAGATTGATATTTCTGTTTATAGGTAAATTTCAATTTATTGATATATTGTACTATTGTATTACAAGTAAATAGACACATGTCAACTGCATTGCGATTGATTAAACTATTATAAGCTTATCAAAAATTTCGTTGTTTACATTATGTTGTTTAAACTATACCATCATTTCAAATTACTAATACTGTACTACAACAACGGTATCCCTACACAAATCCACAAATATGACCTATTTTAATAAATAGAAAAATTAAGATAAAATTGAATATAATATGATTTTATTTCTTGTCACTTTAATAAAAACTAATATTTGGCACTTTGTTTTCAAAATTGTTTTCCGTTTACGTGACAGAATTTCTGAAGATTCTTTTGGATTACTTTGAGCTTTCTCTCGGTCTTTTTAGTCATAAATTTGCAGCACATATTCATTCAATAGTAATAAATTTTCTTACACTTAAAAAAGTATTTGAAGCTGAACAATAAGGGACAGAATTGTCAAGAAAACTAAATATATATTCGTTGAAAGAAGCTCATACTGAGTTCATCATATAATTATGAAAGTAGCCTGTCAAAAGAATATATTTCAATATTAAAATATATATTTTCAAAATTGTTTAGTGTATTTATTTTCGAAAAATTTCATTTTATCTAACAGTATAATATGCTTCTTGGAAATAGAACATTTTATTTTAGTCCCTTAATAAATTCTTTTATTAAATTAAATGCAGCTCACTTTCGACTCGTGGAAATGGCTTTAAGTACTTATCATTTCGAATATGAAGTTTCCTATTTTATAAAGTTTTAGAAGAGTTCAGTGGTGAGTTATAGCTTCATGAGGTCTATGCAGATTTGAATTAGAGGGGCCCATGTACAGTATTGACTTCAAACATTTTTCTTCCCGGAATTTTTGGGAAGAATCCCCATGTATCCTCATTCGTTTTTTAAAGCGAACTCTGTGCTATGCCAGTGCACCCTGTGCCTGCGCCATGTCTGTAATCTAGGTTCCTTAAACATGGCCCAAACTTAAATTTCGATACTCTTACTACATAGAGTCATGAGTTTATAAAAGATTGATTTGGGGCCCCAAGCAATTGCTCTTATTGCCCATAGGATAACGCGCCGCTGGAAAAGTTAAAATATTTTTTACGAAAGAAGAAACTATTCAGAATATTTGCTTCAAAAACGTACAACGAAATTTTATTTTTTGAAATTAAAATACAGAATTTTTAGTAAAGTTAATTGAATTTATTATTGAAGTGTTTATTTTGAAGCTGGCGTGGTCTACAACGTGGCGAGTGGGTTGTGGATACGTTCTGTACGAGAAGAGAAGAGACAGCTGGACGCAACTATACGTTTGTAATTACGGTCCGGCGTAAGTATTGAAGTTATTTAACGTTCGTTTTATGTTTGAGTTACTCGATTGATATTTTACAGAGGCAACATCGACGATTCTGAAATGTATAAAGTAGGTAAACCGTGCGACAAATGTCCGGGTAATACTTGTTGCGGAGCTCATTGCAAGACGAGGAAACCCAGTTCTTATTTGGGATTATGCAGTAAGCGCGTTATTTGTGTCAACGATAAAGTAAATCTGAATTATGTGATCAAAGAAATTTTTTTAAATTAGAGGTTCTCAATGGAAGGGGTCCAGATTTCGACGAAACCGATTTTGGCAATTTCATCTTTAATTGCGATTTTAGACCGGAATCTTCGTCGGATTGTAACTCCAAAGTGGAAGGATCCAACAAATGGCAAACTAGACAGATTATATCCGGTATGAATTCTGTTTTATTAATTATTGGTTTGATTTGTAACAATAGCAAAAATTAAGATTTGTCTTATTATGGACTGGTCTGATTTTCAGTTCTTTATGGATTGGGATGTTGCTCCATCTCTTTCAATTCTGAAGTAGAGACGAATGAGAGATGGAGCAACATTCCAATCCATAGGCCTACTACTAATAAAAAACTGAGAATTCGAATTAAATTCAATAATAAAGTTGACAAGTCCTCAAAAATCGTTGACAACTTTCAGTAACTTGTATAATAGAAATGGCAAAGGAATATCTTGTAATTTCTCTTAAATTGAATTAAAATCGCGGAAAAAACGGTTTATTACTTTGCCTTTTGAGTTCCGAAGTTCGAAAGTTAGAGAAAATTCAAGAATTAAAATAATTTTGTCAGCTAAAGAAATGTTTCTATCAATAGTTATTTATTTAAAAAATTATAAGAGAGAGGTTTTTATACAATTTTTTCAAATTTGCAATTTGAAAAAATTGTATAAAAACCTGTCTCTTTGTCCTTCCTTAATCTCGAGAATGGAGTTAGATAGATGAAAGTCGAAACCAGATATGAAATCTTAGGAAACAGGAGGCCCGATTAACTACATACAAACTTCGGAAGTCACGTGATTTCAATTTAAAAAGTTTCCCGGAAAGGAGTTACATAAATGACCGGCAAGGCTCTATTACTAGCAGGAAAAGTATGATATACAGGGGCACGACATTACAAATTTCAGATGGAGAACATATATTTTAAATTAAAAGGAATTAAAAATATGAGTAAAACCTGCAGCCCGGCATTGTAACGATATCACAATAAATAATTGCTCGTTTACTTTCTTGTTATTAATTTTCCGTCCCGTGGGCTCTAAGAGGATTTTTCTTCCATACCTGTTGTGGGATTGGCCAGGTCCATAATGGGGGATGGGGCCAGAGGTATCCATGTTCCAGATATCTCCAGGTTCCCACAGCTCTAGCCTTATGCCTTAACCGCCTCGACCATCCAGCAGTCAAATTTTTGATGTACAGCACTATTGATAAATCTGTGTACTTCACTCGATGCAAGAAATACAGCTGAATATAAAATGTGACCAGTGTTGCTGATGTATGCACACGACAATGTCACAGTAAAAACATTGTTAATCAGTAATATTATTGATTTTATTATGTATGTAATATATGTGTGTGTATAAATGTCTTTAACGTGAATATCTCGCATCATTCATTTCAGATGTGTACAAAACTGTAGTTTTAAACGGAGGAGAAAGCAGCTCTTTGAAATTTTCTAGCAACATTCAGTCTAAAAACGGTTTCTGTTTAACTGTATCGTTTCGAAAAGGACCCAACGTGGCCGGGACGAAAAGCGATAGTAAATTCGACCTTCAGTTAGAAAGAAGAGGATCCCCTCCTCTGTCTTTCGAATTGGATTCCGAAGGAAATCAATGGCTTCCGTACAGCATGGGAATACCTATGAACCAACCCATGCAGGTAATAATCTTTTATTTTTCGACGGAATTTCGACACGAATATTTTGTAGAAATTTCTCCTAAAATAAGATTTTTTAAATAATTATTTAGAATTTTCCTTTTCTCTATCCAATTTTAAAATTATCTGTCTTTTTATATCGCTGATAAAATACGCTAGTTAAAATAATTCCAAATTATAATAAATTTTCGTAAACTGTCTCCCGTTTTTAAAATTAGTTTTACAATAAAACCTGTCTAAACGAAAAAATTCTTCGGAACGGAGCGATTTGCTATGTTAAATTCTAATATAAGCCGGAAACCCGTCTAATGCGGAAACATAAGATGTTTTTGGGTACGCGAAGAACGTAACTTAATTTGGATAAAGCGAAAAATTAATATTTCACACTTGTAGACAAACGCTTAAAATTTTAAAATGACAGGCTCCGATTCACCGTAAACTGAGCAGTGACATTTTCTCAACCACAATTTGCATTTTGTAACTTCTAATTTGAAAAGAATTGGCCACAGCTTGAGGCGAAAACTGCCGTGATGGGACCTGTATTGGATTAATTCCCGTTACCTCCAAACATTCGATCCCGAGTCTTCAGATGATAGTCTGACTGAATAAAACAGTTCAAATCGTTCTGGATCCTCGTAATTCCTTACGTTAGTTTCCTGTTTTTTAATCCTTTATCAACGCATAATGACTCTGGAGGATCAGCAATGCCCGTAATTAACAAAATTGAGCCTATTATGCATAGATCTCCCAGTATGAAATCCACATCAATAATGTCCAGAATAAAACGACGCTAATTTAATTTCTTTTATTTTTAATTACACGATGAAAATTATTCAAAATAATTCTTTATTTCTAGCAAGTACAGCAGACTCTTACTAATCCGGCCATTCCTTGCACAGGGGTAGCCGGATTACCGAGTGCGTATGCCTAAAGGCAATGAACGACATGGCCCGTTGCCCTTCCGTTCTTTTCGGAGCTGTATTTTGTTATTGTTAAATTATGCGCAGGGATACACATACATTAATTGAAAGTTCAATTCTTTATTAAAGAATGCTACAAGTTCACTTGTAGCATTCTTATTATTGAAAAAAATAATAAACACTAATAAGAGAAAATACTTATATATTGAAAAAAATAATAAACACTAATAAAATACTTTGATGGGGTATGCCGGATAATCGAGAGGCCGGACTAGCAAAGGGTCTAGCGTATTTAGGCTATATCGGGCCAGCTAATATCATATTGCAACAAAAAAGGTGATTTGCACCATTTAAAAATTGGGATATAATAAAATCTTTTGCGTGTGATACGTCTAGTGTTCTTGTAAATACCAACGTAAATGAATATTAGGTCTACACGATTAACAATAAAAACTGTCGAGTAAATCCGATGTTAAATTTATATTCAAGTTCATTAAAATGCAAAACAAATATAATCTTATTTTATATTACAGATTAACCTGAAGTTCAGCGTTCCGAAAGGATCACCCGCGCAATATTTAGATGTAAATTACGTTCGAGCGCGACCCGGAGTCTGCAAGTAGATGGCATTTACGTCTACGAAAATACTCGGAAGCCGTTTATGCACGACAGTTAATTATATTTACCGGCATTTAATTAAGTTGTAAACGTTCTTTAACAGTTTCGGATCCCGTAATAAAAGTTTTGTTAATCGATTAACGACGTTTCGTACGTAAATTAAAAGTTACGCCAGAACGCGATCGCTTCTTTTATCTATTTAATTCTATCAGAGATTTATAAATTGTAAAATGTAACAATAACAAACGTATACTTACCTGGGTTGAGGTCGCGGCTAGTAAAAAAACCGGTTTTTTAGGTTATTGCCGTTCATAATCATCACCGACATTTAGATGATAGAGCTAATGCTGCCAGGCAGGTAGGAAGAAGTGGTTGCTTCATACATACTGGTGTGAGGTTTTCTCCGTATCTGTCCTATTATTGGCATAGAAGATAAATTGGGAATGGAGAGGTAGACCCGAAGATTTCGATAACGAAATTAGACTGGAAGAAACATGACTCGTTTTATATTATTCAGTTTATGTTTTTGTTTTGTCGTCGTCTCCGCTTTTAGTTCCGGAATACCGATTTGGGAACTGCTTCAATACGAAGAGAAGGTAACAATTTCTATTTTTTAAAAATTGTATGATTAAAATTCTTCGTTGGTAACCGGGAAAAAACTTTAGTAAAAACCGGAAGTGTGACGGACACGACACGACGTACTGTAGAGAATTGTAATTTTCTATATTCGATACGTATAAATTCGCCTGTTGTTATTAAAATATTTACTAATACGACAGCAAAAAATTATATTATAAATCCATTTAATTTTAATTTAATTATTCTGTCGTTCCGTTACTGTCGGATTTAATAAATTGCAAAATTTATCTTTTACGAAATGGGGAAAAAATGCTTAAAATAATAATAATTTAAGGAGAAACATCGTAAAATAATTACGATTTTTAAAATTTTTTCTGAATAGAAATACGCCAATTAAAGATATGCCCCACAGAAATGGGGCATACGTTCATTCTTTAATGGAAAATTATGGCCTTGACATAGAGCAGACTGTAATTTTACTATAAATATAGAACAAAACATTTAAAGTGCGTTTCGCTTTGTTTTTAAAAAAATAGTATAAATAATAACCATTAGGAAATGATTTATTTATTTATTTAACTATTAAAGTCGGTCGTTAAAGTATAAAGTGGAAACTTCTTGATATTTCTAAGGGGAATGCAAGAACAAGCCGTGCTGTAATATTAAATGTGAGACAGCATTTCCTGTTCGCGCGTGGCAATTTGATATTGGTATTTTATTGCGTAATTTAAAGGTTTTATTTTCGCCTTTTAAGTGATGACTTTTTTAACAGTTGGGACGCCTTCTTTACGTTTTTGTCCATATTGTGGAAAAATGTTGCAAAAATTTGGATATCAGCGGTAAGTGTTTAATCTCATTTTTTATATTATATTCTGGAGAAATTTAATATGTATATAAATTTTAAAATATCGTAAAATAATTAAAATGCAGATGGAAGTTATTAAATGTCGGGATAACATTATTTTTAACTATTTCAAATAAACTATGTTTATGTATTTCGCTCCGAATTTTGATAATTAAATATTAGGACAATACATTAATTTGTTTTTATTAGACTTAACGTATAAAAAATGATTGAAACATTTGATCAGCTGTGTTTAATAAACTGTTATTTCAAATATAGATCTAACTTTTCATTTATTTCCAGATTGTCGCAAAACTATCATCATGGATGGCGTGTCTAATTTATTAAACAAAACAGAAGAAAATTTGGATTTCTTAGATCCATATCAAAAAAACGGACACATACTCAGTATATACTTTATTTCATTTCAAATATATTTATATTAGTGATGTAACGAATATTCGGTTACTATTCGGTATTCGGCCTATTCGGCCTATTTTTCACTATTCGGCCGAATACCGAATATTTAATCACTATTCGGCCGAATACCGAATACCTAAATGCAGGAGTAATAAATAACAAAAACACAGTAAATTAATCATTTTGTTATTTAGATTTAATGTTATCGAGTTAGTGTTGTTTGTTTATATTTATTTATAACTTGTAACATGCGCAAAATAAAAATGAAAATAATATTAGTCACATGTATTCACAATTTATAATTACAAAGATCAGCACACGTACACGTCTATCGTTGGAGAATCCTCGCACATCGGAGGGTCTGACCCTGCCTATCCTTCTTTTTAAGCGCTCGTCTTTGCTCTTCCCTTTCTCTTTCCTCTATCGCTCTAATCCACGTATGCCTGTGCATACATCATAATACGCGCTCACGATACTTTCGATTCGTCACTTTTCTGTCCTAGAGTTCTCATTTTACAATTACGTGACAGCCTGGTGATAACGGAGATAAGAGACAGATAGAACGTCGATATAAGTCACAGTTATGATTTCACAGATTCGAGACACCTTGATAGCCCGAACGGCCCCAGGCTTTCGCCCGTGCACGCTAAGTGACTTTCATTACAAGCATTTAGCTTTCCGAAGTCTATGACAACAATTGTTTGGCATTGACGGCCACGAATTTCGTGCCAATAAGCTGCCTCGACTTGTTCGATTATGTTATCGACTCAATTTCTTATTTATTTTCACATTTTCACTTCGCGGTCCTTCTCTGTTCTTTTTCTGTTATTTACACGTGTAGGCCATTTCATTGTTATACACATTTGATATAATCATTTATCACATACTTCCATGACACTCTTGTCTGTCCGCTACAACTGCCAAGAATTAACGCGATTGGCGAAGCATAGTGACAACGGGCCAATAGAGAGCAGGATTCTTGCCATAATACGGTTTGCGCGCTAATTTTCGTACGTGCGTTAATCGAGCCTAATAGTTTGGCCGAATATTCGGCTATTCGGCCACGCTCCTGGCCGAATATACTATTCGTTACAACACTAATTTATATAAGAATTTAAAAAAGAAAGATTTCCTATCAGGAGATTTTCTTGAAGTACAAACTCCAGAGAAAATAATGTTTAAGCCAAAATTGGAAGCAGATTTCAAGTTTTCAATCGCCATTTTAAAGCAACTGAAAACTTGAAATTTGGTTCCAATTTTAGCTTAAACATACATTTTTTGTTATAAATTTAAATTTATGCATATGTTTTCTGTATATATTTTAACAGAATCCTTGGAGTAATGAGTACATACCCCTATATAGGCCTACAGTTACCATACCTATATGATAAGATTTCACTTGGATTTATTTTATAAATTCAAAATGGTCTGTCCAAAATTAAATGTCCCGGAAATGAGTCGTCTGTAAACTCTTCTAATTTCTGTCTTAATTATTCATTTCATAAATACAGTTTTTAAAATATTATATCTTAATATTAATACAAGGTGATCAGAGTTTTCTGTAGAAAGAACTATTGAACACAGCTCAATCAAATTTGGTATACGTATTCGTACGTATGCATTTCCGATTTTATCAGGGCTGTGGAGTCGCGTAAAAATCTACCGACTCCGACTTTTCCTTACCATCCGACTCCGGCTAAAACATCAAAACTCCACGACTCCGACTCCACAGCCCTGGATTTTATAGGAAAATTTTAATTAAATTTATCCGCTAGGGCGAAATTTGCTGTTGCTATTCCTTTAATGTGCTATTACGTACGTTTTCTAACGAATTTCTGGGATAAAAGGAGTTAGTGTTCAAAATGCTATATCTTTAATGTATAGGGGAAAGTTGGGCAATGATGCTTAGTGTGATCCCACTTAGGTCTATGGAAACAGAATGGAATTGTGAATGTGTGATTTGTTGTGGTCAGGTAGCAAATGTCGTCATAAGTCTATAGACGCCATCAGAAACAGAGTTTTTTCTTTCATTCGTGCGTTGTTTTTGAGATGATCGCTTAGAAAATTTTGCAAATTTCAACTGAGAATAAGTACAACTTTATTTTAAATTGTTAGATTTAATTATTGTGTGTATAAACTACATATACTTAGCTCCCCTTCCTACTGTTTAACTTATAACATTCTGTTAGACCAATAAAAAAGCATCAGAATCCAATATGGCGATGAACGGTAATGACTATCACGTAAGCTAAGTTCAACAACCAAGTGCTTTTAGGTAATAGAAACGGATGAAATGTCATCTTATATTTCAAACAATACTAAATGGTAAAATTTGAGTAGACAATAAAACATTACAAATTCTAACAGCTACTCCAGAAAATCACAAACTAGAAGCGTTAGACAGCAAAAATCTAAGCAGATCCGGGAGGAGAGAAATGCAAAAATTGGTCACACAAAGACTGTAGATGGGTAGAAACACCAAATAATTATAAATGTGACTATTGTCGTATGTAAAATTAAGAAGTGACAAAGCCTAACCGTTGAGCGGGAATTCCGGCTGGATGGATGATAGCATTGGAAATTGATTAATATTTTAAAAATAACTTGCATGTAAAATAAATAAAACCAAATTGTAAAGAACACTTAAAACTTATATTTTACTAATTAAGTTTTGATATTTGTATAAATTTGTGTGTTTACTTCAGTTTTGTCTTGTTTTCACCTAATCGCCAGTTCCACATTTGCGATTGAAATAAAATTATTGCATTTTGTTTAACTCCAGAAATTAGAAAACGTACGTAATATGCTAAGCAAGGAAACAGCGGCGTTAAATTTCGCCCTAGCGTCTAAATTTGGAAATAAAAATTTTTCCGAAAATAGAAACCGCATATTGAGGAAATTATGTATACCAAATTTGGCCGACAATTGTCAATAATTTTCTACAGAAAACTTTGTTCTTTATGATCATTCTGTATTTGTATATTATTATTTAATTTCTTTAAGAAATTATAATTATCTATTTTGCATAAATTCAATGTCAATAAATAAATTCATTCATTTATTCTGTTATGTAACAGACTGTGGAGCAGTCAGTGCTGTCCAGAGTGGGATCCCTTTAGCTTTTTGTCTTTTAAAAAATGAAATACGTAGAAATTCCTACTTTTACAAAATTTAACTTCTATAGTGTCTTCATATTTCTATTAAATATGTTTTCTTTCTTATCTACTTTCTAATGACTAACTTTCGCAATCTTCTGATTAATTTCCTATTTTACTTAATGTACATTTTCAATTAATTTATCCTGAAATATGAGATTGATCATATTTTAAAACTTTTATCATTTTTATGAGTGTTTAGTGAAGTTAAAAATAATATTTTAAAAGGATAAGAATTGTTAGATTATGGTTATTTATTGCAAGGACATGGATAAGATGTGATCTAACTGAAAGCAATCAAACCAACATGCAGTAGTTTTAAGACATCTTTGACATTACAATGGTACACCATTCTATCACTTATTAAAACAAAGTGAAATAAAAAAAAATACTATTACTTATATAATTCTATTATTATTTCAAGCTCTTGCTGATATCAACTGCTTAAGCATGGCTCTCAAAGTACATTTAGGGCATGTTTGTAAAGTCCAACCAGTTACTGAGAATGATGTCATTGAAAATATTTTTCTCAGATTGTTTCATGTAGACAGTTATTTGTATCTTTTTAATAAACAATTTATACACTTGACTGAAGTTAGAAACATTAACATTGCCAGACATCCTTTTCTATACAGTATGATATAAACTAACTACTTTCTTCATGAATTTTGTTACTTTCATTTGAATCATCATTAACACTTTCGAATGTGCATATTTGTATTGTTTTACTCGTGTATATTATAGTTTTTATACTTTGTATACTTTTTTAGCATCAAGTTGATTTTTCATTGCATATTTAATTTTGTTGTGTTGAACAAGTAGTCTTTGTCCTGTCAACTTTTTGCTACCATCATGCTTGACATGTAACAAGCTGTTCCTTCTTGTGTTGGATATTTTTGTTCTTCCTCTGCATTTCTGGAAGCTGTGCATGCTGTTTCTCTGGAACATTGTAAATTTGTGGATGCTCATCCTCTCCCTTTTTATTAGTCCAGATCACTCTTGGTGCTTCCTTTTTGCTTAATTTTCTCTTTCCCTTCTAAGCTAAACCTCTGAGTAGAGTTTTTTCTTTCTTTAATGTCTAAATATTTTATTTGTTGTTTATAATGATTATAATTTAAAATTACCAGATTACAATTACTAAATTTTTATGTATAAATTTTTAACAATTTTTATATTTTTCAGTCTGTATCAAAAGGATTTCAAATCATGTTTATTCAGTTTATAATAATAATCTGTAGTTTCTGATAGAATATATGCATTTTATTTATAGTGAAAATTATTGAACTTATTTTATCTTGCTTTAGTGGAATATAATATGCTATATTTCTTAGAATATTCATTTTAGTTCAATAAAACCCACCCAATTTACATTCTGTGGAAATTGAAATTTATCATGAATAAAAAATATTTAAGATATAATTTCATTTTTCAAAATAAAGATTATATTTAAAAACTTATCAACAATGCAGTAAGTATGCATTTGTTTAAAATCTGTAAAATTTATGCTTTATTTTATACATAAGTGGAAGTTAATCAGGAAAAATTATTTACAAATTTTTTTCTACTTGATTTTTCATATTAAAAATGACAATTTAAAAAGAAAATTTCATTTTATAATTTTAAATATAAATAGTAAAAATTGAATAAAATGTCTATTATTAAATGAAAATTTTATTTTGTTGTAAAAGCTCTTAGTCTAAATTTTCAAACAGTTAATTTCAACAAATTATGAAAACAGTCATAAATTTTAGAGTTAAAATTACCTTATATTGTATATCTACATGTAATATACCTGAAATATTACTACATAGTCATTATCTGTGACAATTATATGAAATGAAATTAATAGCAGTTTTTTCATATAATATCAATATAAGTATATATGTTACCGGCCAAACCAGATTTCAGGCCAAACTAGTTTATCCTATGCATGTGAGGATATACTAGTTTATCCTAGGACAATCTAGTTTGGCCTAAATACTTTAGGCTTAACTAGTTTGTCCTAGGCTGAACTGATTTAGAATTATTTAAGTCAGGCCTGGCCAACCCAAATTGTTTTGCGGGCCACTTTGATCAAGTGTAACATTACAATGGGCCGTGTGAGGTTTTCTCCGTATCTGTCCTATTATTGGCATAGAAGATAAATCGGGAATGGAGAGGTAGACCCGAAGATTTCGATAACGAAATTAGACTGGAAGAAACATGACTCGTTTTATATTATTCAGTTTATGTTTTTGTTTTGTCGTCGTCTCCGCTTTTAGTTCCGGAATACCGATTTGGGAACTGCTTCAATACGAAGAGAAGGTAACAATTTCTATTTTTTAAAAATTGTATGATTAAAATTCTTCGTTGGTAACCGGGAAAAAACTTTAGTAAAAACCGGAAGTGTGACGGACAGGACACGACGTACTGTAGAGAATTGTAATTTTCTATATTCGATACGTATAAATTCGCCTGTTGTTATTAAAATATTTACTAATACGACAGCAAAAAATTATATTATAAATCCATTTAATTTTAATTTAATTATTCTGTCGTTCCGTTACTGTCGGATTTAATAAATTGCAAAATTTATCTTTTACGAAATGGGGAAAAATGCTTAAAATAATAATAATTTAAGGAGAAACATCGTAAAATAATTACGATTTTTAAAATTTTTTCTGAATAGAAATACGCCAATTAAAGATATGCCC